CCGTCACCCATCATGATCATGTTAATGGTCATGTTAATGATTCAGGTTATGCATTCTGGGGTACACATGCCCCAGGATGCGTCTTCCCAGTACACCCTTTCCTGATGCACACGAAATGGGCTTATCCCCCCCTCGGTGATGTTACCATTCACCACCTGGGGAAGGTCAGGAGTGCTTTAGAATTGGGGTTACACCGCATTGCTGTTTTTAAACTGTGTTTTCACTGAACAACCTATTACAGGTGTTTGGAATGCCTTGAATATTCTTACATGGCATCATTTTAATAGATAACTTAGTTTCCCGTTATATGCACAGTATATTTACTTATTCCAATTCCTACTGTTTTGCCAAATTTCAACGTTTTGCCAAATTTTTGCTGACATTAGCAATGTGGTGAACATTTAATAGAAAATTCTTTATATACGTTAAAGATTATTTCCTGAGGGTAAATCCCTAGAAGCGGAATTGACAGTCAAGGGTTATACATATTTTTAAGGCTAAAATTGCCACTAAAGGGTCCTTGTCCTCAAAAGCATTTACACTCCCCATTACAGCACAGGAAAGTGTGTTCCTCACCGTCTGTCTCCCTACAGCATCCCCCACACCGGGTTTTGTCATTTTCCAAAATCCTTTCTTGCTTCAGTTTCTGTTTCTTTAGTCCAAAAATTTGAACTTTTCTCCATTTATTTTGGGCCATGTATGCAACTTCTTTTCTTTAGCTTCCTAATCACATCCTTTGCTAGTTTTTCTGCTGAGTTTTCATCTTTTGTTATGATATAGTTCTCGTTATTATTGTACAAACGATTTGTAAATTCGGTTTTGAGTTCTTCCTTGTTTTTTTCCCCCCCTTAGTGTGTGTTTTTCTAAACTCCCAAACAGCATTTCCAGGGCTTTGTAAATAGAGTGCACTTGTACTCATATTTGCAATTTGTTTGAACACGTCTATAATTGCTCTGTCGGTAATTAATTTGTGGTGTTCCGTGTTGCGGTGAAAAGGCACGGTCTGCTGAGAGCACGGGTCAGTGGTGCGGACCGCCGGCGTTGCGGCCGGGCCGACGTGGTGTTCAGCCTGTCTCCGCCGGGTGACTTTGGGTGGGCCCTTGATCTTCCCCTCTGGAAACGAGGAGATGATAACAGGGCTGAGGTGAGGACAGACTGGGACGCTGTGCCCGGCGCCCGCCCCTCGGCGCTCGGGAGGTGCTGGTCTCTGTGGCTGTTTTGTTACTGTGGCCCGGGCTCCTGAGGACCACGTTTGGGCCCGAGCCTCCAGGACGGAAGAAGAGGACCCGAAGAGCAGGCGTCTGACCGTGCTTCCACGGGTTCCCTCTTCCACGGTGCACAGACGTCAGTCCCCGAGTGACATTCAACAGCCACCTAAGGTCCCTAGATGTACACTTGCAGGCCACTGGCCTGGAGCTTAGTTAAGAAGTACTCCCGAAGCACCGAGCGAACGATGAACTTGGACGACGCTGAGCCCCGTGCCCGGCACACAGTACGGGTGAGCATCCCTCCCCTGCTCCCCCGACTCCTCACGGACACAGCAGATGGTGGGAAAGAAGCACGAGCTGGCAAGCTGGTACGTTTGGTTCTGCTCACCACCCGGCTATGGCACCAAGCAAGCTGGGTACCTGGGACTTCTGGTCTGGGGGTCAGCTTGCTCTCAAAGGGCCCCTCCACCTCGGACAGCCTGTAATTCTGTCACATGGAATCTGGCATCATCGCTCATCTCTGCAAGCTCACTCTTCAGACATCTGTACACCCACAGGGACCAAAACACGAGGCAGCAGGTGCCCAAAGAAGGAATGCTCAGGGGTGTCGGGAAGGGCTCCCAACCCTCTACCTCTCGTGATCTGACCTGCTTTCCAGGTGCTCCCGCCCAGCCAAGTGCCCCCGGGGGCGCTCCAATCTGTCCGTGGCCCCTGGAAAGCAGGCTTCTTACTCACTTCTACGGGCTAATTACTTGTCAGACCAACTGCGCAGCTCTTGGTAGGAGGGGCTGGGTTCCTTCCAGCCTCGCGATGGAAAGCAAAAGAAAACAATGCGAGACCTTCCTGGATAACTGCACATTCACCACCACAAACGGTACCATCGCAAGGACAAATATGTAACATTTCAGAACTCGGGAAAATGGCCCAGCAGCGGCCCACACTAAGAATGGGAGTAATTTGGTCCTGCGGTCCAGCAGGGGAAAGAAACCCCAAGTTTCTAATTACCTAGCCACAATCCTGTATTTTGATGTAGAAGAGAGGCAACAGAGAAGCTCTCTTCTGGTCACAGACGCGCTAAAGAGTCAAGAGACGAGCCTTCTGCCCAGACCACGGCTGGACACCGGCCCAGGCCGCCCCAGTTTCTCAGATGAACCCCCAGGAGCCGCCAGCGGCCCCACTTCCCCCTCTGCCGCCTTACAGGGGCATCATCAAAACGTACCCCTGCCTTTGGTGTCCTTCCTCACCAACAAGTACGGGGCCCTGCTCACCTGGTCTCCCATTCTGCCCGCCACTCCGTGCGTCCAGAAGCTCTCACACGGCCTCTGCGTGTCCGCCGTGGCCGTGAGGTCGGTGAACATCTCGTCCGCTGTGGGGCTGCAATGGTAACAGAGTCTAGCTTCAATCCTTAGATTCCCAGGACACCACTGATGTCCCATTTCGAGCATCTGGCAGAGGCCTCACCTCAGCCCGGCCGGCCTGGCACAAAGGACACTTACTTCCTAAGAATGGCATTTGTGCCTGGGCAGTGCTCCGCTGGGTCCGTGTCCCTCGTCACCCCTGTGGGCAGCAGGATGCGCCCAGTGCCCGGAAGGGACAAAACCTTGTGGTATTTCCTGTCCAGGATCTGGGAGCTACTGTCACCCTCCCTGCCCGACAACACACACGGAAACACTACCGCCCTGCTCCCCGCCAGCCGGGGTTTTACTGGTCATTCCTTTTATTCTCGGGATGCACGGACAGGACAGTGGAACAGAGACTGCAGGGCACGGTGAAGAGCAAAGGAGAAGAAATTTGGGACGAGGGAACGAGGGATCCCCTCTTGCTGGGTTGGCTTGCCTCTCAACACCACCGACATGTGACATAGTCTGAATGTGACTTTTGTACATCTCAACGATGACAAATAAAAAAAAAAAAAAAAAGTTGGTCAGAAAGCATAGAAAGGAAAAACGTCTTGACCCTACAGCCTAATGACACAGTTCCCATCCCTGGCCCAGCGTCCCCTCCAGCTGTGGGCCATCCCGGGTCCCCCATCTTGTGGTTCCCCAGCTCCTCTCCTAACAAAACCCGACCGGATCTTGAAGAGGGGAAACTGAGGGAGCCGAACCGAGGTGGAAAAGGGGCAGAGAGAAAAGGAAGAGACCCGAAAGAGGGGGAGGGGCAAGGGACCCAAAGGCCCATCCAGAGCTGGATTCAGAGACAGCCTTCTTCGGTGGGTGCTGACCTGAGGGACAGAGACAAACACCGGGCTCCTGCGTAGCCTGGGGACGTGAGAGCTGGAAAGAGCAGAAGTAATGGGGAGAGGGAGCTGGGAGGGGAGGTGACAGGTTCTCCTCGACCACCTTCCAAGGACCCCAGGGAAGATCTGGGGGGGACACCTTTCGAAACCTGACCCCTCGTTCCCCAATATCTGTTTCTGGTTCAGGACCCTCATCACAAACCACCTCCAGGAAGTCTACGAAAGGACGTCCTGGTGACCTCCATGTCCGAGCTCCTGGAAGGCAGTCCCACATCAGTCCCCGGGGCCATCGGGGCCACCGTCTCTTCAGGAGTGACCCGGGGTTTTGTGGCATTGGGCTGGAGGTGCAATGGCCGGGGGGAGGTTGTGTTAAGTCCACCGCGGCTGCTGGGACAGAACACCACAGGCAGGGGGCTCAGGTGACAGTCTACACCTCGGGGTTCCGCGAGTGACAGCTGGCACCTCCGGGTTCTGGAAGCCGGGAGGTCCGGGATAAGGTGTCTGCTGAGTCCCGCTCGCCGCCCCTCTGGCTGTGCCCCCACGTGGGAGCCTGCCCCCCTCCCCGGGCTCTCTGGGGTCTCTATTAGAAGGGCACTAACCCCAGTCCCGCAGGCTCCACCCATGTGACCCCATGTCCTCCCTGGGCGCCACCTCGGAACCACCCCACCGGGAAGTAGGTCTCAACCTGGGAATCTGGGGGCACAGCACGCTCCGCGTCGTCTATACAGGCGGAGGTGGCCCTCGGTGAGCGCGGGGGGAGGGAAGAGCCCCGACAGCGCGCTGGGCCTGCGCTCGCGGCTCCGCGTGCCCCCGACGCCACGCCGCGGACCCGGGGTACGACCGCCTTTTACCTACCAGGGAGGTCACGTGCCCCAAGCCCATCCAGCTCGCAAGCGGCCGCCTCAGGACCCGGACGCTGAGCTCTCCGACCCCAGGGTCCAGTACTAATCACTCTGACACCCAACAGCCAGGCCCTGCATCCACGTCCGGGTGGGACAGAGGAGCATGCCCAGGTTCGCGGCTTTGCAATCGTGGGTGAAACCCCGAGCTTACGCCGCAGGTGATTGGAGGAGTTTGACCGAGCGTCCCTACTTCTTGGCTTCCCATTGGCTGCTGTGTCGCTGCACCCTCCTCTTCCGGCCCCTCCCTGAGAGGCTGGCCCAAGGCTCCAGAGCTGTGATTGGAGGGGCAGGAACGGGCGGGGTTGTGGGATCGACACGCCCACCAAATGGGCAGGGCATCGTGGAGCCCCACCCCTTGGCAGCCGCCTGCGGGGTGGTATGTCCCGGATTTTCCCAGATGTGGCACTGAAGTCCCGCGTCCTGCAGGTCAGGACGCGGGCCCTGGGCTCTCCCGGCCTGGAAGGCAGGTGCTTGCACCCCTGCGCCGGCACATGGGAATCCTGACGCCAGAAGCTGCCCCTGGGGCCCTGCAGCGCCCTCAGGCCAGAGACGGACTGGGCCTCCTGGGCCAGATCTTCCGCCTAGCTTGGCGCATCACCCGGCTGTCCCCAGTTTCGTCGTCGTGTTCTTCGCGTTTCTCAGGTAGTGGTTATCAAAGAAAGTGGAGTGTCTGGGGAGTCGTTAGGAACGCAAATCCCCTGACCCCACCCCAGACTCACTGAGTCAGGAACCCTGGGGCTGGGACCGGTTCAAGAATCTCCAACACCGAACTGTGACTTTCCCCCTTTCTTCCGAGGTCCAGCGCGGGACCAGCAGCCGTGGGAATGGGCTATGGTCCCGAGGCCCTGGGCATCCGGAGAGCATGGCCTAAGGTGGAGGGAGCGGAGGCAGGGAGCTCATTCTCCAAAGGACGAGTCAGTTTAATGGTCACCGTTGGAGGTAGAGTGGAGAGTGTTGGACAACAGGACATGGCTGAAACCACATGTAGTGGGAGGGGGGAGCAAGGAGGCGGCCGGCAGGGGCGGAGGGGGGAGCCTGTCTTCAGAGACCACATCCCACCCCAGCCAGGCCTGCCTCTGCCTGGTTCACTGTGTTTCTAGACCTCCCGAGGCAGCCGTCTTCAGGATCGGCATCACCTGAACACACTGACCACCGGGAAAAATTCCTGAAAGCAGTTTGCCCCAAAAGATCAATATTTACTTTCTAACGAGCAATGTTCGATGAGATCCTCCCTCAGCCCGACCGCGGCCCCATCACTCACCTGTGCCCACAGCAGGCCTTCTGCTCCGTCAACGGCTGCATCCAGCTGATTTTATGGTTGTGATAACCTGGGTGCCCTGAGGCACTGCCACACTAAGACTGAGGCCTCAGGGCAACGGTCAGCCTGGCCGGGTCCCATCCAGGGTGATTTTGCCGCCCAGGGAACATTTGACAATGTCTGGAGACATTTTTGCTTGGCGCAACTGAGGGCTCTATTGGCATCTAGTGGGCAGAGGCCAGGATGGTGAGTGTCTTCGTCCTACCATGAATAGGATAGATGCTCCCCCCCCCCCACCACAACAAAGAGTCATCTGGCCCCCAAATGTCTCCAGTGCTGAGCTGGAAACCTGCCCCAGGGCCTCCTCTCCATTATCAATCCCCGTCACCTCCTTGGCAGGGGAGGCCCCCATTGATACGTCTGGGGAAACCAGCTCATGTATTTCCCAGCTCCACTCACTGACTGCTCACTTATATGTCGCTTTATCACGACAAGGAGTATAAAAGAGGGATGGGGGGCGCCTGGGTGGCTCAGTCGGTTAAGCGTCCGACTTCAGCTCAGGTCATGATCTCACGGTTCGTGAGTTTGAGCCCAGCATCAGGCTCTGTGCTGACAGCTCGGAGCCTGGAGCCTGCCTCGGATTCTGTGTCTCCCTCTCTCTCTGTCCCTCCCCAGCTCTTTCTCTCTCTCTCTCTCAAAATAAATAAATAAACTTATTTAAGAAAAGAGTGATGTATCAGACATGTGGAGGAATGAGAATTTTCTCAGGCTTTATTTAATTTTAATTTCAGAGAAAGAGAATGCAAACAGGGGAGAGGGAGAGAGAGAATCTTAAGCAGACTCCATGCTCAGCCTGCAGCCCGAACCAGGGCTGGATTCCAGGACCCTGGGATCGTGACCTGAGCCAAAATCCAGAGTTGGATGCTCAACTGACTGAGCCACCCAGGTGCCCTGAATTTTCTCAGGTTTCAAGTAATCAAAGAAAACACGAACAGAATTAACATCAGAGATGTTAATCTTTTAGAAGCGAAATCTAACCAAACTAAATGTAAAGGGAGAAAGTTGATTGCAAAACATATTTACATTACAAGTGATTTTGGATTCAGGGAACCTGGGTGGCTCAGTCGGTGAAGCCTCCAACCCTTTGATTTCAGCTCAGGTCATGATCTCACACCTCATGAGACTGAGCCCCACGTTGGGCTCTGTGTCGACTGCGTAGAACCTGCTTGGGATTCTCTCTCCTCTCTCTCTGTGCCTCTCCCCTGCTTGTGTGTGCACCCTGTCTCTCTCAAAATAAATAAATAACTTAAGAAAAAGGAGTGGTTATGGGTTCAAATCTATGCAATTCTTGCAAATATGACCGGAAAAACAAAACAAAACAAAACAAAAACACAACTGAAGCTCGAGAGAGAGAGAGAGAAGTGGTCTTTATTCTAACACTACCTTCTACCATTTACCGGGCCCTTACTATGTGCCCAGAGCTGTGCTAAGCCCTTGGTATATTGTATCTCATTTAATCCCCACAACAGCACGTGAGCAACACGCTCATGATTTCCATTTGCACAGATGTCGAACCGAAGTGCTCGGAGGTCGGGTGAAGCGTCCCGGGCTCCCGTAGCTGGTAAAAGGCAGAGTCAGGGTTGAAGTCTAGATCTGCCTCATTAAGTCCAGTTCTCACTAGCAAACAGATGGTAAAAAGTCAAAACACTTGGATGAGGGACAAGGTGGCGTCCCATTGAAGCCCTGTGATGGTATGACTCGGGACGTGGGACCCACACAGGGAAGCACAGCCGTGACTGTTCGCTGGCGCGGCCGGGCCTGGACGGATGCGGATTTCTGCGTGTGGGGCAGGTGGAGGGAGGGGCGAGCTGGAGGAGGCCGCCCCGTCGGAAGGAAGCCTGTGACATTCTGCCGTCCTGCCTCCTTCGGGACGAAGAGCAGGAGAAGTCCGCGCCCTCCCTGTCATCTCTTTGCTCCGGGCCGTGGTCCTGTATCCCGGCTCTGCCTCTCACGCACGTTCTGACTCAGACAAGCCCCTGGAACGCTCCTTTCCCGGCTCGGCTCCGCCCACACCGGCACCGGCCTCATCGCCCTCATCGCCCTCCTGCGGAACACACGCACGTGGTCACTAAAGGCCTGGCAGGTGCCAGGGACTCCGTGAGTAATTTGGCTTTTACCCTTCCCTGATTTTTATCCTGGCAACAAGTTAGCGGGGGAAACACCGGTTCATACGACGAGGGCCACCTTGATGGGGTCTTAACCGCTCTCACGCCTCTCCCATGGGGCCAAATGGCTGGGGCTGGCCGCTGGTGCCCCCCCGCAAGGGCCAAGCCAGGGCAGGCAGGGCAATATGGCAGGGCACCACCAGAGGGGGGCAGAGAGCCAGGATCCAGGGCCCGGCCTGGGATGGGTCGGCATGCCTGCCCGCCCGAGCAGGAACACCCAAGGGGCACGCAGAGGCTCTGCGAGACCCTTCCCGGCTCCGTCACGAGTCAGGAGCTGGTGCCACCAGACTGAAGACTCCAGAGGCAGACATCTAGGTGAGGACGAGCCCAGGATGGCTCTAAGGTCAAAAAGGAAGTAGCTCTATGGAGTCCAGAAGGAACCTTCCAGAGGGGGCCTGATCCTAACCAGTGCCACTCATTGAATGTGCTGCTATTAAGAGGATGTGGTTTGGGGGACCTTAAACCAATACTCTCTCTTTTTTTTTTAATTTTTTAAACATTTATTTATTATTGAGAGACAGACACAGTGCATGAGCAGGGGAGGGGCCGAGAGATGGAGAGACACAGAATCCGAAGCAGGCTCCAGGCTCTGAGCTGTCAGCACAGGGCCCGACGCGGGGCTTGAACCCACAAACCGCGAGATCATGACCTGAGCCGAAGTCGGACGTTCAACCGACTGAGCCACCCAGGTGCCCCAAACCAATACTCTCTTATTTGTGGAAATATCTAGAGCCAAACCTGTAGATTGAGGTCCACAGAATGTGTTCTGGAATGTGGGGAAGATACCCCTAGTGGTCATGGAGTGTGGGACCCGGGCAGGGACGAGGAGATGGTGTGCCAGGAAACTTCCAGACAGGAAGAGGACACTTGATAGGCCCGGGAAGGAAGGGAGACAGAGGAGAAGGCCATGGCTTCCCGGCTCCAGCCCAACCCCAGGGTGTGGCAGGGTCGGCGTTGAAATGGGCTGAGGCTGGCGTGCTCTGCCTTTGGGGGTGCAGCTCTGGGGACAGTGTCCCTCGCGGGGAACCTGTCACGTCTACATGGAACAGTCAGGCCGAGTGAAAACGCAGGGCGGTGGGGTTAGGTAGAGACGAGGCCTGAGGTGGGGCTGCCCGGCTCTCCCCCAGCCTACAGACGACCACAGTGCCAGCGGATGAGAACCTCGGGTTCAGACCCAGCAACCTGGCCTGGTAAGGGGCGAGGGGACCCCACCACAGAGGCCACAGAGCGCACATCTTAGTAGGGGCCAGGTGGAGGGTGTGTCTGACACTCAGAAGCCGTGCAGAACCACGGAGAGTTGGGGTAGGGGCAAGTCAGCGACCAAAACAGAAGACAAACTTGAAGTTAATCGCCAAAGTTGGGAGACAGAAGCTGAAGTAGCCCGTGGACCAAGCATCCCCACCTGTGCCGCTACCGTCCTCTCCAATTCTCGGGTACCCCCGTCCTCCCTCACGGCGGCGATGTTGCCTCCAGCCGAGCCACAGGGCCTTTGCACATCCCCTCTCTTCCCTTCAAACTCGGTTTGTTGGGTCTTCCTGGCTCGGCCACCCGCCCCTCTTCCATACTCTCGTTTATAGCACTTGTCATTTGGTTTGCTTGTCATTTTACACTCATCCTGGCAGCTTTCGGACTGACAC